CATGCCTGGAATGCTCCTGAAATGCAATTTACTGAATGTTGTGGTTTAAGTAGCACAGTAGGTCGCGGAATCTGGCTGTAGAGCCAGATGTTTTATTACAAAGAAATGTTACAAAAGAGTTCTCAACATAGAACCATGTTCAAATTACCTGTATTTTTCGCTCCATAAGACGCACCTTTCCATAAGACGCACCTTTCCATAAGACGCACCTTTTTTAGGAGAAGAAAACAGGAAAATATAATCTGTTTTCTTCACTCCATAAGACACACAGACTTTCCACCCCCTGTTTTGTGGGGGGGAAGTGCGTCTTATGGTGGGAAAAATACGGTACATTTTGTGAAAATGCATGCATGAGATTAAGAGGAACAGTTAACAATGCAGCACCTTGAGCTAAAGAATTAAGAACACAGACAAGGAACATGATGTGCAGTACAGCAAGGAAAAACAAGCTAGAGAGCCAAGAAATAACATTTTCTTGGTGGCCCCAGAAGCAATTACAATCAATCTACAATCAAGATTAAAAAAACACAAGGATTCTATAAAGAACATACAATATTTGATAGAATATTACTCACTACAGGAAAAAGAACAAATTCAAAACCTGTACAAATTCTTATTACAATGGGACACACAAGACGAAGAAGTTAAGGAGACAGTGTTAAAATGGGCCAAAAACTTTGGATACAGTATAGAATTAGAAAAATGGCAACAAATCTGGACAGAAAATCTCAAGTTAACATTAGCTTATAGTTAACTTCCTATAAAGAAAATTTATACAAAATGTTCTATAGATGGCATCTCCCTCCATCCAGACTTGCAAAAATCTTTGTAAATATTTCAAATAAACATGGGAAATGTAAAAAGCAGGAAGGAACTTATTACCATACATGGTGGACATGTGATATAGCAAGAAAATATTGGATTAAAATACATATGTGGATTAAACAAATGACTAAGCAAGAAATGGAATTCAAACCAGAAATTTTCTTGTTGGGATTATTACCAAATAATATAAATAGGCAAAGCTACTATTTAATATCACATATTCTGACAGCAGCTAGATTACTATGGGCACAGGTCTGGAAGGAGGGAGACCCACCAAAGGATGACATGATCATTAAAAGAATATTAAACTGTGCAGAAATGATCATATTAATGAAGAGATTAAAAGGACAAGAAAAATTAATTTATTACTTAAGATGGAATGCATTTTATGCATGGTGGAAAGCAAAAGTTATGTAATAAATAGAATTAAATGAACAATATGGAGAAGATCAAAATGGAAGAAATGTAATAGTAAATAAGATTGCTTGTAGGTTAAGCTCTAAACATGGTTTGTTTTATTTATATATAATGTCTTTGTATATTTGTAAATTCTATGTTGGAAAATAAAAAAAAATTATTTAAAAAAAGAAAGAAAGGGGATAGCGGAGAAGGACCTTCACAGAAATCGTTAAATGCTACTTAAGTTTTGCCTCTCTCTGACCCTGCAGCTCAACACCCTTTGTTCCTTTCTTATTTGACTCATTTCACACAGTTCCTATCAGAAATAAAATGTCCCCACTTATTTGGAAGACCAAAACAACGAGACCACTTCTGAAATTATGCCAGAAGCTATTGCCAATGCACCAGAAAGAAAGGATGATGGCATCACACTTTTTCCTGCATTTCTTGTGCAAGAGAATCATATTCAACAAAGCACTGATGAAGCCGAAGTAGCAGGGATATGTCACATAAGCTTGTGCAGTTAAAACAGGCATTTCTTAGCCTACAATACCTATTCAGCATATTGAAATAGCAAACTGATGAGCCAGACTGGTACTTAGAAACAGGCCATTACAAGACAGGCCCAACAGAGATAATGACAAAACACAATTAGCAAGCACTTTCAACGTCCACTTGAGATAATGGAGATGTATTATGAATGACCTGCGGCCCATTCTGGACAATAGTGTTCCTCTCTCCCAGGTTTGGAGTGTGGCTAGTCCCTACATGCCTACAGGCAACCTCAAAATCATAAATGCCATCTCACAACAGACAATGCAGCATATGGGAAGACAGGAACAAGTCCCCTGTATACTGTGTATAATAAAACAAATCTAGATGCCAGCTGTGTCCCCATTTTTACACTGGCAGCACCATCAAAGGTCCCAACTATGTCTCCTGCAACATCAGGAGTTTATTTACTTGTTCATCCTTTTATGTGTTTATCTTCTACCAGCAATGCCCCCTGCATTTTATATAGGATAGCAGAATTATCTCTGTGCAATCGAAGGAGTGTTCATAAAGCAGAAATCAAGAATGGCAACGGAAAGTTTTGAAGTGTTCCAAAAAACAATTTCGGAGCACTTCAGCCTCCCGGGATGCTCAGTTATGGATCTCAAAGTGGCTTTATAGAGAAAGGAATAGCAAAGAGAGGCTCAAGACATAGATAGCAGAAATTGGCTGCATAGACAAATTCCAATGCATCTCTAAGGGCCTAAATAGAGATCAAGGCTTCTTAGCACATGCATATATAAATAACCCAACCTTCTGCAATATCTTTTGCTTATAGAATAGTTGTCTTCCATGACAGACATTGACCTTTGTCCCAAAAACAATTCCTATGACCGCCACGTCTGCCTGCTATACATTGAGTCTCATCCCTGCATCTACTCTGTGTATTTCCTCAATAAATAGTTTCCATCTTGCCCTTATTTTATCCAAGTCAGATAGGATAAATCAGCTGAGCTTTCAGCATTCCCATTTCCTTTAGATTTCTTGCATCTTATGAACAAGATGTCTTACTTTACCTGTTTTGTTGTTCTATGCCTTCCAGTGACCATTGTAATGATTCTCTTAGACTTTACATACAAGCTCCTGAAAAGTTGCATTTCTGCTACATTTTACTTTTGCTTCTTGTCTGCCCTTGACTTGAAGAGTTTCATCAGTCATCCATTTAGATTTGTCTTTCTTTTTTACTATAGAAATTAGGCTTGTATTTGAAGGGACTAGTTTCTGCTCATGGAAGCCTTCTGTGGCAACCAGTTTGTGCTAAAACCTGGTCTAGCACCATTTCACTCCCAAATCACAAAGGGTAGAACGCTACATATATTTCTACCATTTTAAATTTTGATTCGGGTAGGGTTTTTTATATTACTGGGTCTGGTATGGCACACAGTTGGTCCTTGTAGTGAAAAATCTGCCCATAGGGCTATTGGACACAGACATTTAGTTTAGATTAGCAGCATTAGCACTGGGGCACTAACATCATCTGCTCTTCTGGATAACAACAGGCTGGCTTTGGGGATGGGTAATAGGCTTTATTGTGCACACACAACTCTGTCTCCCCAACCAACTGCAGCAACCTCCTCACCATCCAGCTGATTTCACCCTGCTCCAGCACTTACTGCAGGTAATGGGAACATGTGGCATGCAGTTTGTTGGGGAGACAGAGATGTGTCAAGACAATGGATTGCAATTCCCATCAGCCTTCAGTATTGTCTAGATTTGCTCTGTACATTATTGTCTTGGATGGATGAGACT